AAGCTTATTCCAAATCATCGGTTCTTATTCTGCTTGATCTATCTGCTGCTTTTGACACTGTCAATCATCAGATCCTCCTGTCTGCCCTCTCTTCACTGGGCATCACAGGGATTCCTCTTCGCTGGTTTGAATCCTATCTCATTGGTAGGTCTTTCAGGGTGGCCTGGGGAGGGGCGGTCTCCAAAGCTCATCAGCTGGTCACTGGGGTTCCTCAGGGATCAGTTCTTGGACCCCTCCTCTTCTCCATATACACAACTTCACTGGGTCTCATCATACAGGCACATGGCTTCTCCTACCATTGCTATGCTGATGACACACAGCTCTATCTCTCATTTCAACCAGATGATCCAATGGTAGCTGCACAGATCTCAGGCTGACTGGCGGACATCTCTGCATGGATGAAAGATTATCACCTACAGCTCAACCTGGCAAAGACTGAGCATCTTGTCTTCCCTGCCACTCCAACTCTACAACATGTTTTCACCATCCAGCTAGGTTCTTCTATTACCCCATCCACTTCGGTCAGAAATCTTGGTGTAATCTTTGATGACCAGCTGACCTTCAAAGACCACATTTCAAAGACTGCTTGAGCTTGCAGGTTTGCATTGCACAACATCAGAAAGATCAGGCCCTTTCTAACGGAGCATGCTGCACAACTTCTTGTCCAGGCCCTTGTCATCTCTAGGCTGGACTACTGCAATGCTCTTCTGGCTGGACTTCCATCAAGCACAATCAAACCTCTACAAATGATTCAGAATGCAGCGGCACGACTGGTCTTTAACGAGTCCATGTTACACCTCTCTTTATCTCCTTGAATTGGCTACCGATTGCGGCTCGCATCAAGTTCAAGACATTGATTTTTGCATATAGAACATCCACAGGCTCAGCACCCGCCTACTTCCACTCACTATTACAAATCTACATCCCCTCCAGAAGTCTGAGATCCACTAGTGAGCGACGCCTCGTGGTACCATCACAGAGAGGCTCAAAATCACTTTCCAGAACATTCTCGTTCACTGTTCCTGGCTGGTGGAATGATCTTCCCCCCCCCTATCCGGAATGCTGAATTCCTGACAATTTTCAAGCGACAGCTGAAAACTCATCTCTTTTGACGCTTCACAAAGCTTTGTCTTTCTCTTTATTTATTCCTTCCCTTTCTAGCTTGTACTTATTTGAACAATGCCTAAAACTTACTTACTTACTTAACTTAACGTATTACAAGCACTTTCTGTGTCTGTTTGCCTCTTTAAAAAGAATCGCTTTATGTATTCCCCAATTGTAAGTCGCTTTGGATAAAAGCGTCTGCAAAATGACTAAATGTAAATGTTCTGCCACAACACCATGGTATACTGTAGTTAGCATTACGCAGCTCAAACGAGTAGCGCTGTTTTGTTACACTTTTGTTTTGTTTGCCGTTGCTCACATGCAATAGAAATGGCAGCTCATTAATTGGGCAATGCTGTGGTCACACCAGTGCGCCCGCTGAAAAAAAAAATTTGAGTAGCGGCAGAAAAATGGTCGCAGTCTGGAGCCCTGCCTTATTATTTGATGATCTGCTATATTATTGCAGAGCTCTAAAGATTTTTCCTATCACAGCAAATCTAAATCTGCTTGAAGCTTTATAAGCATCAGCACTATTAATAAAGAAAGAAAAATAAACACCAACCTGTGTGTTCTTCAGTATCTTCAGTGTGTTTGATTCTGCAGGGTTCTGGGTCTCTCATCTTCTCTCTGTCCTCTTTAATAAACTTAGTCTTTGCCGATTTCAGCTCTTCCTGATGATTTGATGCTCGTCTTCACTTGTGAACTGATGGGAATATTCCAGCATTTATTGGTCAATTGCTGTGGGTGGAGCTTCATTGATGATGTGATTCTTGTGGGAGGAGCTTCATTGAAGTTGAATTGCAGCATGTGAGGAGCTGATCTGCCAAAATAAAAAATATATATATCACTTACTGAGATCGTTTTCACAACACTATAACTAATGCAATGTTTTTCAAATATAAATAATGGTAAGAAAAACAGCTGAAAACATAAACACAGAAATACATCTACAGATTTGTACCAACAAATACTCTCAATATGTTGACACCAGATCTCCTGTAAATTGCCACTTAAAGCTTATTTCATTGAAGACATCAGCATAGTAAATGAGGTGAAAACAGGAACTATTGACATGAAATAAAGAGTCTTTTCAGCAGCTCTGTTAATATTGATGAGCCTCAGACTATCAACACTCATTCAACAAGACATTCAGGATCATCAGCAGATCATCTCACTTTAATCTGAGTGTTTGCTGATAGAAACACATTATTTGAGTCAGGATATATGATAAAAGTCT